TGGGTTTTATTGTTAATCTAGAAAAATCAAATACCGTGCCATCAACTAAGATGAAATATTTAGGATTTATTTGGAACACAAAGAACATGACAATACAGTTAACTAACGACAAAAAGAAAACAATTTTCTCAAAAGTAAATGAATTTTATGTTCGAGAAAAATGTAAAATTAGGGAATTAGCAAAGCTCTTAGGTTTGTTAGTATCGTCGTGTCCAGCCGTAAAATACGGCACTCTTTACACAAAAGGTCTAGAGAGGGCAAAATACTTAGACTTAGAGAATGAAAACGGAAATTTCGAGAGTCAAATGTGTCTCTCAAAGACATTTCTGCCTGATATTAAGTGGTGGATTGATAATATTAAATTATCAAGTAATCCCATTACTATTCAGGCATTTACTATTGAAATTTTCACAGATGCATCCCTCACGAGCTGGGGAGCAGTGTCCAATAATAATAAAGTTCATGGATGGTGGAGCGAAGATCAACGCAAGCACCACATTAACTACCTAGAACTTTTAGCAGCTTTTTACGCATTAAAATGCTTTGTTAAGGACCTGCAATCCCAGAACCTGCTACTTCGGATTGATAACACGACTGCGATCGCTTATATAAACAAAATGGGCAGCGTACAGTATCCTAAACTTAGTTGTTTATGTAAGCAAATTTAGCAGTGGTGCGAGAGACGCAATTTATGGATATTCGCCTCATACAATGCGTCTAGCGAAAATTCAGTAGCAGACAAAGAATCACGAAGATTGCCGAAAGAGACAGAATGGGAGTTAGCCCCGTACGCGTTTAACACACTAAAACAACACATTCGGCAATTTTGATATTGACCTGTTTGCATCTAGTGCAAATAATAAATGCAAATAATTTATTTCATGGAAACAGGACCCGAATTCTTGTGCAGTAGATGCATTTACGGTCAAATGGAGTGATTATAAATTTTACGCCTTCCCTCCGTTCTCAGTCATCCTTAGAACTTTGCAGAAAATAATTACAGACAAATCCGCGGGCGTACTCGTAGTTCCATACTGGCCAACTCAGTCTTGGTTTCCACTGTTTAATTCAAGCGATGATTTACTTGTTCTTCTTTCAGAGAGACACATCCACTTGCAAGAAAGCTTACCCTGATAGCAGGTCGCTTATCAGGGAGGCATATCTCAAACAAGGTTACCCGGAATCCTCCATATTAGTAGCACTTCAATCACTGTCAGAAGGAACTATCAAACAGTACAATAACCCATTGCAGCTCTGATGGGATTATTGTAACAGCGAAAATGTACCGATATTCGACGCCTCTATTCCAGAAGTTCTCAAATTTTGAACTTCAACTTCGAAAACTGTGAAAACCTATGGAACGCTCAACGCATACCGCTCCGCAATATCACTTATATTAAATCAGGAAATAGGTGATAATTCAGCCATTAAACGTTTCTTTAAAGGATTCACAGTAATGAAACGATCAAGTGCCAAATACGATGACACTTGGGATCCGGACGTAGTTCTCCGATATATCATAAAACTGGGTCAAAACACAGAATTAAATTTAAAAACCCTCTCAATGAAGCTGGTAACTCTCATCGCTTTAGCTACAGCTCAGCGCCTCCAAACTATTACAAAAATCCAACTGGAAAACATTAAAATATCCGAGAACGAGATAAAAATATATATCACCGACAGAATAAAAACATCCAAAGTAGGGAAAACTCAACCGATGTTAATTTTTCAATTCATGAGAGATCAGCCAGAACTTTGCGTCGCAACCTTGCTACAAGTATACATAGAAAAAACCAAGGAAATTCGACCCGAAGGAGTGAATTCCTTGATTCTAACTTATAAAAAACCTCACCAGCCAGCAGGAACGCAAACAATCAGTCGCTGCGGGTGAAAGTAATAATGGAAAAAAGCGGCATAGACACATCTTCTTACTCCGGATATAGCGCAAAACATACGGCAGTTTAAAGAGGACTAAGCGTTGAAATTTTTAGGAAGACTGCAGGCTGGTCCAATAAATCAAATACCTTCGGAAAATTTCAAATCGCATATTATTCTTTAAACAACTACAATTGATCTAGAGGACGAGATCTATTTGCATAATCTCGATAGAACTTCACTTACAGGTAAGTTCGTTTAATCGTTCAATTATTTGCACCTTACAGTCGATCCGAGGCCTGCACAAACGAGCAGAGAAGTGTTTTTCGCGCGCTTGTTTGCACTCAGCGAGCGTAAATAGTATATTGTGCAACGAGTGGAGAACAAGTGCGATTTATAGCGAGCTCGAAGTTTGCTGCGCAAGCGAAGCGCGCGCAACAATCGAGCAAACGAGAAACGTTGTTCTCCACGAATAGCACATGATACTTTGTCCAACAAATGTAAATTATAAATTACAGTTGACAGCTGTCAAATAAACTGTCAAGTTTGCTGAAAAGATATCTTTTCGTTCTAAAAATGGAAGTAAAAACATTTTCAGATCCGCTGGTATAGAATTTAAGGTAAAATTGATAATTTTTTTTATTTATATCATAATTTGACTGCTGTCAAATCAACTGTCAAGTTTTATAAAAAGTGATTTGTTTTAATAAAAATTTCAATAAAAGGATTTTCGGTGTCATTGGTGACAAATTTGATGTTAAGTTGTCAATAACACGGTACCCTGGAACCAATCTCAACCCTCAACATTCTCCCTTTCAAAAATTCCTGTTGAAACTTGTTCGGGGTACCTCACTGAATATTTTTCAACAAGAAAAATAAAAATCCGTCGGGCGCTTTTTTTTTAATTTCAATTTTTGTGATTTTAGCGCTAAATTAAAAAAACTGGTTTTTATAATTATTTAAAGTAAAATTCAACTTCACATGGTCAAATTTTGTTCAAGAAATTATACAAAATCATAATTCCGGTAAAAATTTTTCTGTAGAATCGAAATCTGACATTGGCTTTCGAATTTAAAGCAGAGGAATCCCAAAAAATCCGGAAAACTGTAAATATTCTAAAAACAATCTCACCATAGCGTCGTTTTTTCCAAATTGTCTGTTAAATTTTCAGTAGCTTCATATTTTATAAAACTCTTAGATGACAATTGTTTCAAAGTTAAAGAAAAATTTTTAAAAACAATATTGTAAGATAAATAAAAATAAAAAAATTTCAACAAAATATTATAGAAATAGGTCTTTTTAAAGTAAAAAATAAAAATATATACGACACTTGTCATTACATAATTTAAAATAACTAGAAAAACACAAAAAAAATGGAATAGCTGTCTGACAAATCGCTAAAAGCATTAAGTGTGATTTTTTCCACGTTGCAATTTAAAGGTTAAAAAAAATGAGAATATGAGGGAATAAATGGTAGAAACAAGAATTTTTTGTCCAACGTGAAAGCGACTTTCCGTGTATGCATAGTAGTTGATAATAACAGAACTTACAATAGATAAAATTTTTTAGTGTACCTATATTACGAATTTATAGTGAAGAGACATTTTGTTTAAAAGAACTTTTATTATTTGAAAAAATTTTTAAATAAATTTTAACAAAAAGCAGATGTTACTATAGGGTAAATACACTAATTACGGCGCGAGTCGAGTCAAAATACCTTTGAAATAAAACATTCGACATTTCTATTGTAGAAAGTCAATTTAAGACTTATTAAACTTAAATCTTATGTTATTTAGATATTAAAAAAAATTCAACTTTATAAAGATCGATTATTTAAACAAATATGGGAAATCAAAACTAATACCGTAATTTTCTATTACGGTGCGTTTGTATCAGAATCGGTGTGTCAATTACGGTGACCAAAATTACGTGCATTTTGAAGATACTTTGCCCACCGTAATTGAAGCTAATAGAAATCTTAAATATGTTTCAATTACGGCGAGGGAAAAAATTTGATCTCAAATAATTAAATTAATAATTGTTTAAATATGCATCTTCATTAGTAATTGTGTCAGAAAAAGATTAAAAAGATTTTTTAAAATCATTTTGCAACAGTTATATTAAATAGGGTCAGTTGGGGTAAATGGGGACAAGAGGTTTTGGAGCTTAATTTATAGTTTTAAAATTAAGTTCAACGTCAATATTTTAACCTCAGATCACCTGCAAGAGGTTTTGATTATTGCCAAGATTTTATCTTGACAATTAGCAGCAAAATAAAAAAAGTTATCGCTCAATGCATAAAAACTTGAAAATCAAAGTCAAACTGTTTCAGTATTTTCTCTCGCATTTGAAAAAAAACAGACTTAAAAATCATACTAAATTTTTTTCTTATTCCTTATGACTCTTATAACAGAAATTCACTTGCATTTTTTATTTTTGTCAATTTGGTTAATAATGACAAACTGTCCCCATTTACCCAAAAAATTTGAAAACTCAGGGTAAATGGGGACAGTTTGTCATTATTAACCAAATTGACAAAAATAAAAAATGCAAGTGAATTTCTGTTATAAGAGTCATAAGGAATAAGAAAAAAATTTGGTATGATTTTTAAGTCTGTTCTTTTTTCAAATGCGAGACAAAATACTGAAATAAAAAAAAAAAAAAAATTTCAATTTGTTCAACTATTATACATCCACTACAAATTTTTTTTCAAGTTTTTTCATCCCTTAATACAGTAATATACTTAAAGAAACTTTTACCTACAAACTTTTATAGAAACTATGCTGTCCCCATTTACCCCAAATTTCATGAAATTTTATAAATCTTGGGGTAAATGGGGACAGTCAGTTTCATGCGTTTAAAGCTTATCTAAATTTTTTTCTGCTGCATAAAATTAATCCTGGGAACGTAAATAACAAGTTAAAAAAAATAAACCCACAAATATTACCTTTTAAAGGAAGAAACTTATGTAATTTGTGAAAAATAGCGATTTTGTCCCCATTTACCCCAACTGACCCTATAATAGTTATTTTTTTATGAACGCGCCGTAATTGATGCACTTACCCTAAAGAAAAACACGTTTGAATTATGAGAAAAAAATAAAATTACTGAATTAATGAACTTACATTAACTTTACTGAGCGCAACGTGACTTTTAGTGGCGTACATTCCAGCGCTAATGTCAGCGGCAGTTGAACCACTGGAATTCGTGTTTCCTGTTGAGGTTCCAGATTTTCCAGTTTGCGAACCAGTGTATCCACTACCAGCACCTTTATATTCAGCCGCTGGTCCAGTGCTAGCCAGAGAATCATAACTAGTGCCGCCACCATAACTTGAACCGTAACTTCCAGGTTTAGCACTGTAAGCACCGCTGCTTGTGCCTGCATTTCCGGCAGTCGCTATCTGCTATAAATTGTGCAAATCACTTACTCAATCAGCAGTTCATTCGATAAATTATTATTATTTACTTTCAATATTATTTTTTAAACAATATTTCCAATTAACGATTTTAAGACTGAACGTACAAAAAATCAGGGAAAACAGTTCTTTTTTTTACTTAAAATGTATGAAAAGGTCAACTATTTCTTAAAAATAGGTGGCAAAAACATATTAAGAAAAAAAAATATAACTAATAGGTATTTCTTAAAATTTGCCTTAATTGAAAATTGAAAATTTCTTTAAATTTAATTCAGAAACTATTAAATTCCTATTAATAGATTTATACAAATAAAAATTAGGATTGATTGAATTTGAAGTTAAATAAAATTAAAGTGAATTGAAAATAATAACAATTAAAATTTTGACAAATTCAATGTAAAGTCTATTTTAATTTCTATACCAGTAAAAATATTTACCGCAAAATATTATAGGACTTATTCAAATTCATTTTTTTCAATTAAATAAAAAATGTATAGAATTTTAAAATAAATTACTTACAGGGTAAAGAGGAGTTCCATATTGAAAACCTCCTGGCATGCCATAAGTGAAGTAGTATCCTGGCGGTGGAATTGCATTCATCATTGGTTGCTGATGCTGGGTAGCCGTCTATTAAAATTAAAACAATGTACCATTTTTTAAATTATGCTTCAATTAATTATTTTTAGAAATTCTAAATTGTATGTGAGTCATTCTCTGGAAAAAGATCAACTCAAAAAATAAAATTATTAAAAAAAATTTTTTTTAATAATTATTAATGCGTGGTTGTCATACTGTCAAGGGTCCATTATTTCAGATAAAAATTTTCAAATTGAAATAACTTTTAAACGAATGAACGGATTTTAAAATATGCAGGTATAGATTTCTAGGTATAGAATACCTTGAAAATTAAAAATATTTAAAATAACAATTTTAAAAATATTTTATAAAAAAAGTGCATAACAATTTTTTTTAATTTTCAACCTACTATTCCTTTTTTTTAAAAGTACCCTAAAATATTCCTTATTTCAGAACCTTTTTGATATTTTTTATTAATTTCTGGACAGAAATATTTGTTAGAGCTACACGGAAAAAAATTGTTCGCGAAACTTTCGTAAACTAGTTTTTCACTTTTGGACGGTCCCAAAGTTTGGAAATCTTTCATTAACTTTTTCCAAGATTTCACGAACGTTCATCACTCTCTTCATAACAATCAATGTCTGCGCACGCGCACAAAAAAAAAGTTCGTGAAATCTTGAAAAATGTTAATGAAAGATTTCCAAACTTTGGGCCCGTCCAAAAGTAAACAACTAGTTTACGAAAGTTTCATGAACAATTTTTTTCCGTGTATAAATAAAATAAAAGATCAGCTACATTATTTTCTTTATTTATTGACATAGGAACTATTTTCTTTCTAATAAAAAATTCTTAACAAATTTTTTTTTAAGTATATGAATTTTCTAACAGAAATATAAGTTTTTTTATTTTATTTTCTAATTTTTTTTTCTGTTTACAGAAAATGCCTTAATATATGTATTATTTTAAGTCTGATGAATCTGAAAGTAATGTTTAAAAAAGAGAAAAAAAATTGTCTGTGTAGGAGTATTTAGTTCTCTCAAATAAACTTTATTTTTTAAAATTATCATTTTGTTTTAGGTACCTATTTAAATGTAAATAATATACTCTTTAGGCATTTAAATGGTTCAAAAAATAAAATTTCCAGTGTAGAAATTTCCGCACCAGGGAGAAATGGCCAGATCAGGGCCACGAGAAAATGTGGATTTCCTAATCAGGGCCACATCAGACCCGGCATTGCATTAAAATCCGATCCGAGTCATGGCAAAATTTCTACACGGGTTGTATTCCTAACCACACTGAAAAAAATGTTTAACTCCCATATACTAGGAATTGACCAATTTGCCTGGTTACAAGAGGAACCCACTAGGCAATCTTGATCAAAGTTGAGTTCGAAATATAGTCGGAATGACTAGAAAACCTTATCAGAATAACCAGGTATCTTAGTTACATTGGCTAGAATTACTTTTACTAAATAAACTTTGCAAAATTGGCTAGATACATATAGTCATATTAACCAAAAATCTTAGTTAATATAACTAGGAAACAAGGGGTCAATTCTACTAAAGCGACTTTGACAATATTAACCTTAGCTACATAATTGAATTAACTAGGATTCTTGATTACGCTAACTAGATTTAAAGTTGCTATGGTTAATAGTCATTAATGTGAAGCAAATTTTTTCAGTGCATATGTAGTGGAAAATACAATTTTTTTTATTTTCTAAAAGTTGATGAAATTCTTAAAAAAAATAGCGTCTTAATGAGAAGGTAATGTTAATTTTTCTGATATGAATATTATTTTTGTCGAAATGGCTGCAAAATAAAAATTTCATTTTCGTTAATTTTTTAACATTACGTTCTTTAGCCCAATTAAAAATAAATTCTTTCTAATTCGAATAAAATCCACTAAAAATGCTGTTTACAGTAGCGCCAAAGACAAAACTTATTTTTTCTTCTAGTATATTTAAATAACTAATGTTAAAATTACTTTTTCAATTCTTCAAAAAAAAAAACGAAATTGCAATAAAATATCTTCTTTTCCTTATTCTTTCATAACAATTTTCAACATTTATCAATTGAAAATGTTTAAAAATAAATTTTCAATTTAATTAATATTTATGAAATGTAAAAACGACATACCACTAGTTAATATACAAATAAGAAAAGAAATACTAACAAGGTTTCTTTTTGATATTCAACTTTTGTGCATTAAGAGATAACTTGGAATGTCAACTGTCAAAAGAAAAACGAGGCAATATCATTTTAAAATTTTGATGGCGTACTTCATGTTTCAAAAAGCAGATCTTCTATTGGACAAAAATTTGATTGGGTAGAATTTTCATCTAACAGAATTATCACTTAACAGAAATCTGAGCTGACAGAACATTCGGTTGACGGCAGGTCCGTTAACCTGGCTTGTCCACATTGTCTGATCTGGATAAAACCTATTTGAAAATTAAGGGCTAATTTAATACTAATTTAATGCCCTAATGACGAATTTAAAGCTCGGCATTTTCTTTAAAAAACTTGTGGACAAGCTAGCTTAACATTAAGGTGGCTTGTCCACACAATGAAGGAGTACTCATAGGAAGGTCTACTGTAGGTCAAAATTTAGGGCTTTTTTAAGGCTTCGCAATGCTCTATTGCCGAATTTAATGCCGGCATAATTTCGCCAAATATTTGCAAAAATTCAATTTTTACTTAATATCAGTTTGTCCACACAATAAAGGAGCACTCGTAGGAAGGTCTACTATCGGTCAAAATTTAGGGCTTTTTTAACGCTCCGCAATGCTTTGTTGCCGAATTTAATGCCGGCATAATTTCGCCTAACATTTGCAAAAATTCAATTTTTACTTGATATCAGTTTGTCCACACAATAAAGGAGCACTCGTAGGAAGATTTACTCGTATATAAAACTCTTTTGGAACGTCTAGAGTTGCTTGCCCATTTCTGCTGCTACTCAGGCACTAGTCACACCCTAAATAACGTTGCTCGTCTGAAAAGTCTAGCCAAAAAGGTCGTTAATCCTAGAAGTACCACTTCCACGAAAAAAGTTTTTATATATACTAACAATTAGGGCTCAATTAGGGTTAATTTAGTACCACATGCAAAAATTTAGGGCCCTTTACCTATTTAAAGTAACCCTTCGTACTGCTAGCTTGACGTCAAGCTGGATCTGAATTGGTAGTTTTCTACTAATCAAAGAGTGCGTATTCGTTTACTAATTGAATTAGTAACAGTTTTGACTAATTTGTAGTAAAAAAACTACTAATTGCTAGTAGAAAACTACTAATTTATGGAGTAAGTCGTATTTTTTACTATTTCAAATTAGTAAGCCGATTTACTCCATGAATTAGTAGTTTTTTTACTAAAAATTAGTAAAAACTGTTACTAATTCAATTGGTAAACGAATACGCACTCTTTCATTAGTAGAAAACTACTAATTCAGATTTAGAGAGTAGGGTTCTCAACTAAGACTACTTAAATTTTTCAAAAACCATCCCTAAGTTCGAAAAAACATCTCCAATTATTAAAACTTGATTTAACCAAACAATAATCATATATGAATTAGGAGTTAAATTAGTGTTCTTCAATAGCACTAAATCGACTTTTTAAAAATGGACTCCCAAGCACCCCAACCAAGTAACTGATAGAAAACCAAACACAAAAACTACCCTCAAATAATTCAAACTTAATATTTTCAAAAAACAAACACATACACATTTAGAGTTCTTAAAAAACACTTAATTAGATGTTCAAAAATGATCCACCAATTTCAAAAACTACCCCTGAGTAGTTCAAACTCAATTTTTTCAAAAAAAAGTACTAAAGAATTTGGGGCTCATAAATAGCACTAAATTAGATGTTCAAAATTGATCTACCAATTTTAAAAACTACCCATAACACAGGCCTGCATCATTTCGGCATAATGAATGCGACTAGGTGTTCCCGAAGGGAAATTTTGCTCTGAACACGAATCCGGGGTCCAAAATGCTCCATCACGTCAAGTTTTTGACAAAAATGGGGTTGAAACCCCTAAAAACAGCGTTTTTGGCACTTTTTGAAAAATTGTGGGGCAAAATCCTGACGTGATAGAAACTTCGCTAATATCAGAAATTAAAGCTTAATTCGTGCCCTTTCAAATGAGCCCTTAGCCGATTAATATGCTTCAACCCTTAAAGCAGGGGGTGAGTTTTTGTCCAGGGGTGCGCCAACATTAAAATACTAAAAATTGGAAATCTAGAGGATAAAAAAAAATAATTATTATAGAAATGGAAAAAGCCGTGTACTCAAACCTGTTGTTAAAAAAATTTTCCCCATTCACTACCCCTAAAAACAACCCTTAAATAATTTTTTATGAACTTCAATAATCAATATAACGTTTAAAATATTTTTCTGTAGATATTGAAGTTCATAAAAAATTATTTATGGGTTGTTTTTAGGGGTAGTGAATGGGGAAAATTTTTTTAACAACAGGTTTGAGTACACGGCTTTTTCCATTTCTATAATAATTATTTTTTTTTATCCTCTAGATTTCCAATTTTTAGTATTTTAATGTTGGCGCACCCCTGGACAAAAACTCACCCCCTGCTTTAAGGGTTGAAGCATATTAATCGGTTAAGGGCTCATTTGAATTTTTGTAAATGTTAGGCGAAACTATGCCGGCATTAAAATCGGCAACAGAGCATTGCGGAGCGTTAAAAAAGCCCTAAATTTTGACCTATAGTAGACCTTCCTATGAGTACTCCTGCATTGTGTGGACAAGCCACCTTAATGTTAAGCTAGCTTGTCCACAAGTTTTTCAAAGAATATGCCGAGCATTAAATTCGTCATTAGGGCATTAAATTAGCATTAAATTAGCCTTTAATTTTCAAATAGGTTTTATCCAGATCAGACAATGCGGACAAGCCAGGTTAACGGACCTGCTGACGGAATATGAATATAGCAGAACTTTCATTGGACAGAAGCAATGCATTTTTAAGGTTATGAATATTCTTTTAAACAATGGCTTTGTTCCGTTCAATGAAAGTTCTGCAGCATTCATGTTCTGTGAAACGAGAATTCTATCAGGTGAGATTTCTGTTAAGTGATAATTCTGTTAAAAAACTTTTGTTTTGATTCTGTTCAGAAGTCAAGTTTGTTCAGTTTTGATTCCGAAATCAGAATCAAAAGTCAACTCTATTTAGTTTTGATTCCAAAATCAGAATCAAAAGTCAGCTATATTCAGTTTTGATTCCGGTATCTGAATCAAAAGTCTAAATCATTTAAGTTTCGATTCCGGAATCAGAATCAAAAGTCAAGTATGTTCGGATTTGATTGCGGGATTAAAATCAAACGTTAACTTACACTACCGTCGGAAATTGTGCGACTTCTGCTTTTTCGATGACTATAAAACGGAGAAAATATTCAAAAATGTTCAAACTAAAATTTTTTCCTTTTTATTTTCTAAAACCTAATAAAATTCTGATATAAATGACACCTTGAAAATGAGAATAATTATGTTAATTTTTCAATTAGATATCTAAAAAGAACCCAATTTTCAATGCTCACTGAAAGAAATACTATATTTGTCGTAACTATACGATTATGCTTGTTGAGTTGTTTGTAAATTTGCAATATAATTTACCATTTCTAGGCTTATATATTGTAGTTTCGAGACACGTAAATAAGAGAAACATGAAAGCCAATATGTCAATTAAAATCCAGAAATAAGCTCCCAAAAAAGGCCTTAACACCAGACTACCCCCTTAATTCAACTAATCTGGATGAAAATGTTAAATCGGAGGTTTTTGGGTCGTCAAATCTAAATCTTTGTTCAAAGTTAACCCTCACGTGCCTAAGTTCATTTTTTGATGTGCGTACATGAGCTGGGTACAGCTGCTTAAATTCCATAAAAAACAAGATTTAATAGCAAGATATTCAATATTTTAATGCTAAACTATAATTGTAATATTTTGCAAATATAATTGTAATATATATTTAATCTTTTGACACTCTAGGGTACATAAATAGCCCACAAAAAGTCGCGTCGTGACATCTTTTTCGACAGTGTGAATTTGAGTGTACAGTACAAAAAAAGTAATTAATTTAATTTAAATATTACTGGGTATTCTTAGATTTTTGAGGTCGCTGATTACAAATCAGACGTCAGATTTGGAAAATTCAAAATGTCGGATCCAATATGGTGGACGAATTTTCAAAAATTAAACATATTTGAGACCCAGCTCAGGCACGCCAGGGTTAAAAAGCAATTTTCAGCTATAGATTAGTGGAGTAAAATATTTTTTTGGTGATATTTTGAAGCTGACATTTTGGATTTTAAAATTTTGACCATAAATTTGGATTCAGCGACCTCAAAAACCTTAGAATATTTATTGATACTCAGATCGTATTGGGTAAAGTAATTTTTTTTTAGATGCTACTATTTATCCCTCTATAGAGATCAGTCACAGTGAAGGGGTTAATTGAAAAAAGGGAATAATAATAATGCTTTTATGTGTTTCAGATGATTGGTTTGAAAGAAGGGGAACAATTGCGATTCCTGAAGTTACGATCACTTTTGTAATACAGTACGATTCACTTGACAATTGACCCCTTTAAAATTTGACTTGCATGAATAAACCCCAAATTTAATTTAACATAAATATCATTTGACATAAAACTCACTTCACTTAAATTTAAATAAACATAATTGTATATTGGCATGAAATATATTTCACATAATAAATAAATAAATAAATAAATTCCATTTGATATAAACTTCATTTGACATAATTCTCATTTGACACAAAATTCATATAACTTTATGTCAAATGAAGTTTATGTCATATAAGATTTATATGAAATTAATTTTACGTTAAATGATTTTATGCCAAATAAGATTTATGTGAAATAAAATTTGGGGTTTAGTCATACGAGTCTAAAATTTTTGGGCTTTGTTCACAATTTTCTGATGAATAATATAAACTTACTTGTTGAGACATTGTAGAAGGAACTGGCGAGGCGTTACTATCATTCCTGGCAAACCTGGCATCGCTAATACTGGTGTATGCGCCTTGAACTCCTTGGACCCCTTGAACACCTGAGAGCGCGTCCCCTCGATTGGCGCCAAGACTGGTAGCAGGGCCTGTAGTCTGATAGCCCAATGCCGCGTCATAGTAACCAGTAGTTGGCTGCACGTTAGTCAGGAAGGCCAAACACAAAACTACATGCATACACTGTGTACTTCAAATACAAGAAAACTACCTAACTTCTAACACCTAAGCACTTTGCACCAAGATAAGACTGAAACCTAATCATCAGTGTCTACTTTCCTCAATAGTCATTGTATTCTTTATATGGGAAATTAATTTCAAATCGATTACAAAAGCTCAATTCAATAATTACAAGCTTATCTCCATCATTACAATGACACCACTTATTAATTACACTGTGTTACAAAAAATGGAAAAACAAAATTACTTTTCATTCGACCTGCCCTAACTTGTTGGTTTTGAAAAACTAAAAAAAGTGGTATTTATTAAATCTTTCAAACACCTCCAAAATTTCATTTTAGAGATGTAAACCGTTTTTCAGTAGTTCATGTATATTTAGGTAGCAAGAATATCCCATAAATTAGTTAGAATTTATCATAATAATAACAATTCGTCGAATTAGGTATTCTTGCATTTAAAAAATTATGTGGAATACTTATTTGGGAGGCATGAATATTCCCCACACTGAATTTGTTGGAATCAAACTCGTCGGATATGCTTCTTTCATATGATGTGCAAACTGTTCTCTGTGTAACACCTTTTTATAGAAAAAATATTTTATACATTAACTACTGAAAAACGGTTTTTTAACTTTGAAATGAAATTTTTGAGGTGTTTGAAAAATTTAATATATGGATTTTTTTCCGTTTTTCAAGACCAACAGCTTTGGTGACATTCGATTGAAATTAATTTTTAAGTGTAACACTGTGTTATTGCTTATATTACATTAATGCTGTAATAAAATTTATAAGAATGCACAGACCGACATCACATGGGTCAAAAATCTCCAATTTACAATTCAGAAATGTCTGCAGTCACTAACTGTAATCGATTAAGTTTTGGTTTTAAATTAAAGTTTAACATATTATAACAACTATGTGATTATCGATTTTCAAAAACCGTAATGTTAAATTATTAACGTTAAAATTTTTTTTACATTACTCTTTGTATAAAAGGTTATATAAGATTTTTTAGATTTTGTTTCACAAGAAATTAATTTATAAATTTTATAAAAACTTGGAAAAATACCTATCAATAGATTGTGAATAATAAACTGGCAAATACGAGAACTTTGTGTTTATTATTTTTCAACATTAATTATTATTAACATTAATCACTACTAAGTTATTTAAATTTGTTCAGTTTTTATTTTTAAAAAAACAACTTTAAATTCGATTAATATTTAGAGACTGTAGATATTTTTAACGGTAAATTGTATAGATTCTGAGTTTCTGATTATGTTTAGAATCTGAAATAAAAATCGAGCAAGATGTTGATTTCATTTCCCTTCAGAAACAAAAGTTAAAGAGTTTAGTTTTACTTTTAAAGTCATTAAACAAATACTCTTGTTTCTTTAATTTTTGTTCGTTATGTCTTGTAATAAGTGTTAATACTCTTGTATTATGTCAGAGTCAATATAATGGTAAATATTAAATTATAATTTCGATATTAATTTAAGATATAAAAATTAACTCAACTTTCATTTATTATGGCTTTAAAACGTAACTAAACTTATTTCGATGTTTATTCCAGATTCCGACATTTAAACTTTTAAAATGTTAAAGGTGTAAAAATTATAAATATTATGATTCTAGCTTAAATTTTAGTCCTGTCAGACAGTTCTAAAATAAATCATTATTTTCTAAATAATTAACCATATGAAATGTGTATTTTTTCCAAATCCGAAATAAATTTCGGTTAGAAATTTGTTTAAATGTGGTAGTAGACTAAATTCTTTTTACTTTATGTACCAAAAATCAACTGAAAACCAAAATTTCATTTTAATTGAACTAGAAAATTTTTTTTTGGAACGCAGACACTTGGATGAATCAAAATATCAATTATAATAATAAAATTGAAGTAAAGTAAGAAAAAGGGAATAAAGAAAAGAAAAAATAATTGAAGTAAAAAAGATAAAAACAGAAGAAAAATAATTCTACGTGACAATAATAAATCTACTACACAGTTTATAAGCCATGTACAAAATAAGTATAAGATTTCTTTAGTGAAGTAGAATATCAGCTTATTTAAAAAATGTTTATCTTTAGAGGTAACCAAAAAATATATTTTTTAAAACTACGGTAAATGACTTTCCGATTTCTGACAATAGAAAAATTTTTTTTTTTGCAGACTTGTGTTATCGAATTTTTATTTAGCAGAATTTTAAAAAGTAGATTTTTTAATAAGCCAAATTCTTTTATCAAAGAATTTTTTTTAACTAAAAAATTCTGTTAAATAAAAATTATTTTTTCTGAAAATTTTGCTAAATAAATACGATTAAGTAAATTTTAATAATAACACGGGCACACAAAAAAAATTCATGTTCTAAACTCGAGGTCAAACCATGATTACTTTATGTTTTTGGGGTCGCTGAAACCGAATCTGAAGTCTATTTAACCCCATCACATAGGGTTTTTGACATAACCTCAAAAAAATCCTAAAATTTAATTTCTTCAATTTTTTTTTATGTTATGTCAAAGGCCTGACTGATGGGGTTAAATAGACTTGAGATTCGGTTTATAGACTCAAAATAAATAAATAAGTTTTTTTTCTTTTTGGTATTAAATTACACAGAAGACATTATATAGAAACGTAAAATAATAAAAAATTTGTAAGTGCATTGAAATTTTAACTTACGCTAACTATAACTTATTTTTTCATTCTAAAACGACAAATTATGGATTTACAGTTAAATAATTTTCTTAATCTTGTAAGGTTAGTAGCCGAAACTTTTATAACAAGACCTTGTCGTCTGTCTTTCAACATGGTTCGCGGTCATTGCTATAGAAAAGAACACCTTAAATCATACAATCTGATTAGTTTAAAATTTACTTCCTTCCTAACTTCACTTAGTTTGTACACGGCCCTCAATTTATATAAGTGAAACTTGTAAAACGTGCACCTGAAGTATATTTCATACACTTCGGAAAATTGTAAGAAAGTTTTTGTTCATAACATCGACTACCAATTCAATGCACCTTAAGTCTACACTTTGAATAAAAACAAATTAACAATAATAATAATATCCATTTAGATAAGATGATTGGTATTATCACAATGTCTTAATCTTTGAATGTTATATATTCTCATAAACTTAAATTACATGTTTAAACGTGAATAAAAATTTTTGTGTAACACAGGCACATTCATGGATCAGCTATGATCTGTTAGATGGCTTCATTTATGTCTGCAATGGGAAGTGACACTATTTATTATTATTACTTCCAATAAAAGATTTCATTTATCTACAAATAGAGTCGGAATCAAGTAACATTAATACGCCTTTATTGAATAAAATATAAAATAAATAAATTCATACAAGGCGTATGAATAAGTCCTAAAATTCTTTGGTTAAAATTTTCTTCCTAAAAGAATTTTCTTTTAAGCGTATTGCTGTATAATATTTTAATATATCTAACACAGTTTGATTTCTATAACATAAAACAAAAACTATGTCTATCTTGGGGCTCACTACCCTATTATTTGCAAACTCGATATATTGCAAAATCTGTTATTTAAAAGTTCAGTTAAATTCAGGGTGTCTAGCGCTTTTGCCAAATAAAAATCAAAGACTTTTCCAGGTTAAAAATTTTTTTTCCACGTATGTAATATTTTAATAAATAATAGCAAAAATACATTAAATGCATAAGATTAAATTATTTTAAGTCTCTTTTTATAATTAACTAGTAATGAATAAGTTTAATTTTTGTCATTTTCAGGCTTCGGATCGAATTTAGAGGAAGAAAAAAGTCGTTTTAGTCGATTTACATTACAAAAAAACTCAAAAAAGTCACTTATTTTATTTTTAAATAAATACAATTAGTTAGTAAATATTTTATTATTATTATTATTAAACAATTGTAATTAGAAATTAAATAAATAATTAAATTATTAATTAATTATAATTATTAAATAATAATTGAAATTTTAAAAAGTTGCAATTAAAATTTTTAGAAGTAAATGAATTTTTTGAGAGTTTAATGTGTTAAATTTTTTAGAAATAATTGAATTTGAGAAAATTTTTAATTGAAACTCACAAATAATTAATGAATTTTTTTTAACATAGGTATTTTAGATAATTAAATTTAAAAGGACTTTCAATTGAAAAATATTTTAAATAATGGAATTGTTAAAGAACTTGATTAAAATTATTAAATATAATTAATTTTGCGAAGAATTCTAGTTAATATTCTTTTAAATAATTAAATTCTGGAAGATGTGAATTTTATTCTAAATATTAAGTTATTTAAGTATTCTAAGTCTATTTTCTTTAAAAAATGTTATAGAAGAAGTCGAAAAAGTCACATTTTATAAAAATAAGTGGAAAATAGTCTCATACATTGAAAAGAGTCGAAAAAGTTGTGTAATCCGAGGCCTGAATTTCGCATAAGAACATGTACATAAAAGCGCTTACGAACATATTTAACCTAATTTTGTGTTTTCAAACGCAGTTGGAAAAAAATTCTTACACGAAATATGAAAATTCCAGAAGAAATTATTGAATAAATATGTCAAATTGAAAAATTTACACTTGCTGAAAGGGCAAATTCTTTTCCGTCTTCAATTAAAAAGTTAAGAAAATACATTTCTCTTTCTCAGTTAATACGAATCATAAAACTCATGGCTAGTTATCCTAAGTTCAAATACAAAGGTAAAATAGTAGTAAATTCCGTGACTTTTACGGAAAAATTCTAAAAATTGCTTAGAATTTTCATTTTAAAGAATTTTATTAAATTTCTTTTTACCCAACTTTTTATATAGAAAATTCTAATTTAACCGAATATTAGTTAAGCATAATTCTCATTCAACATAATTTTAAGTGATTTCATTTTTTAAATGCTAAACAATCCTCTTGCTTCTTTTTCAGATCAGAATCTGAATTACTTCATGTTCATTATTCACGCGAATCTTTTCTTACC